GGGATAAGTGCGCTTCTTCTGCAGGCAGTCACAATGCCAGCTTACCTGGGTGGGGGAAGAGATTAAACAAGGTTTTCTAACCTTTGTGATCATGTTCATCCCATGATCTGTCAGACAAGCCTGCCAGCAGTCATTCATACATGAGATGATCTAATGGCCTGGATGTCAATGGATGGCTCAGGAGACTATCATCTCATTCCTGCATCTTTAAAATGCTTAAAAAGAGAAGAAGTTTCTTTTCTGACTAAAGCTGACATTTCTATTTTTGAAATGATGAATGGGTTAAATGTGATACATCTGTTTTGCTCCCACTGAAAAACACTGTAATCTTAGTGTACAAAATGATGGGTGTATCAAGGTTACGCCACCCCTTATGGAATGTTAAACTATCCGATTACTGCTGGGCAATCGCATACATAGCAAAGTGTGGTGAATTTTACAGCTGAAGCTTCTTGCAGGTTTAGCTATCTAAATATGGGTATGTGTATGTGGGTTATTTGATTTGGTCCAGTTGAACTATGGATCGTTGCAAGACTACACACTTTGTTTTGAGAATCACACGAATGTGCACTGGCACAGCTCACATAGCAAGGTCTGATAAAGTCAGCCTCCAAGCAACTTGAGTAGTGTACATATACCAGGAGTTCAGAAGAAGGTCACTAGGAGAATGCCATTTTATCAGGTATAAGGATTACAAAATTCCAGAAGTGAGCAATTCTCTGAATGATCCACTGCCTTTGCACAGTGAAATGCGCATCCACATGTTTTGATTCAAACATTTAGAATTTTCTTGGGTTTTCTTGAGTTTAGTAATACCTTTAGTGTTCAAAGAATGAAAATGGTTCAGTCAAACACAGAAGTACTATAAGGTCAGCTTCAGTTGATCAGGGAATGTGGCTTCCTTTTTTCCGAAATTCTGTTGAAACATGACACTTTATACCATCAGCATTATATTATCGGTTCCAAAGAAATGACTTGTGCCATCAGCATTATATTATCGGTTCCAAAGAAATGATCCATACAGTACACCTAATCTACACCATATGGTATGCTCCGCTTGGCACACTATTAAGGTGCCCATACACCTGCCGATTGTCGTACAATAATCGCGGGATCACCGGGATGTAATGGGAATCGCAGAATGTACGACAATTGGCAGGTGTATGGGCAGCGTGCGACCACTTCTACGGTAAGGTCGCACGACTTTCCTCTTCCGAGCACACTGGAAAACCTGCCGAAAATCGTAAGATTTTCGGCAGGTTGGTGGCGTGCTCGGAAGACGAATGCCGCACAGGCCAGTGTGCGCAAGCGCACACTGCCCGCGCACACTGCCCACTCAGCACTGCAATCATCGGAAGCCCTACCCTCAGCGGGGAGGGCTTGTGATGATCGCAATTACGATCTGCCTGTCCAAGATGGGCAGAACGTACAACATTTTTATCAACTTACAACCATCGCACAACTCAAGTTGTGCGATGGTTGTAAGGTGTATGGGCAGCTTAAGTCATGAAACATGTCAAATTAAGAAAATATGTGCATTTTAGGAATGATGGCAAGTTGCCAGACATTACAATCCCCTCCAGGTAAGGCACATGAATTTAATTGATCCTATATATACACTCAAATATGACTATCGATATGGAGTAGTGTTCTGTCCAGGTCATAAACTGTTAAGGTGCCCATACACCTTACGATTATCGTACGATAATCGTATGCGATCGACTTTTGACGGTCAAGCATGTTTGAAAACTTTGGTCGATTGTACGATGTTCGCATGGTTGGTGGCGTTTCCGTCCGTCAAAAGTCATATGATTAACACTGCGCATGCGCAAACTTAAATAATTGCGGTCAATTACCGCAAGTCGTCCAGGTGTTTTTTTCTAACTAAGGCTGATTGAACCTTGCGATAATCGGGGCAGGATGGGGCCGTCGTACGAAAATCGTACGACGGGGCAGGATGCCCCGTCGTACGATCATCGAATGAAAAGTTTCGTCCAATAATCGTGTATGTGTAAAGGTGATGGGCACCTTTAGGCTGCTGCACAAAATGAGTAGGTGTATGAAGCACAGCCAATTTGTCCGCAGAAGCTGTTGACTCAACTTGCACCAAAAAATAAAAAATAAGATTTTTTAACTGACCATGAAATCTTCTTGAAGGCTATTGAGGAACAGAGGAATTCTGAAACAGTCAGATTACATCCTGCCATCTGCAGGATATTTAGAGACTGGCAACCAGAAAAAAAGTTGAAGGCTAGTCCTCATATAGCCCCGCCTCTAACCGCAGTTTTGTGAGCAAACAGTACAAAATATAAGACCAATAAAGACAGGGGTTGGACCTATGTCCTTCAATATGTCCATTCAGGGACACAGGATTTCATGAATTCTGAAAAGGTTGGGATGTCCAACAGCAGTCTAATTGAGGGGTGGACAACAGCTACTGGCATATCTAAGACAGAACCAGAACCTGTTTGGAACAATCTGAATCACCAATGCTCAAATCAGAAGTAGAAAGGCTGCCAGGATCCGGATCTTAACCCAGGACCTCTGCTGTATCTGCCAGTGGTTCTTCCTGCAGAGCCACCTGGAACCTTGGCTAACGCTTTGCCTGATCTCTTGTGCAATCCTTAGTTAAACCTAGTTATTTGCTGAAATCTGAACTCCTTGCTCTTCTTCCGAACTTCCTATTTAAGCCATGCCTCAGCACTACATGTTTGCCAGATTATTGTGCTCCTTCCAATATCTCGCTTTCTGCTTTTACTGCCATACAACATCATCCTCATACTGCTACTCGTGTACCGACCCTTGGCTGCTGATTTAGCAACTACGCTTATCGCCTTCCACTTTAAACTTGATACCTTTGGCTTCTTACTTCGGCTTGATCAGTGACAATGCTTCTGCCTGCTCCTATACTGCTTGTACCGTTTGCTTGTGTACCAAACCCGGCCTGTTATACCACAAATTTGCCTGCTGTTTTAGCTAATAGACTCCGTGACAAAGAGAACTACTAACAACCCAGGGAAGGTAACAAAGGATCAACCTGACTACCTCAAAAGACTCAGAGTCAGCACAAGTAGGAGCTGTGAACTAAAGCAACCACCAACAAGTAGGGTACTACAATTACCTGAACAGGGAGAACCGATTAACAACAAGAATGGTAAACAAACGAAAAATTTGAAGATTTCACCAGCCTCAAAACATATCCCTAAACCTGGTGACCCGCGCACAAAATTCAAGCTTTTGGTGGCCCTGCTAGCGCCACCCAGTTCAATGAAATCATTTTTTTCAAAAGTCTCTGGTCAAAGTAGTAGGGTGGAAAATTATTAGCCAAACAGTGCTTGCATCTTCTCAGATGCTGGCACTGCTCATGTATGGCTGCTTAATACAATAGCTGGTAGTGGGGTTCTAAGGGGGCCTTCAGAGACAGGGTCCCACTTGAGGCTGTGCCACAGCTCTGGAACCGGAAAGTGTCTCTGTGGCTAACTTAACCAGTATAATCAGGTCTGAAAAGTTCCACAATGCAGTGCCCCCTTGCCTGAAGGGTACATTCCAGGGTAGCTCGAAAACCTCCAGTCCTGTGGGATCCATGTACAAGCTTCAGAGCTGATGCTGAGGATTTGTGAATCCAGACAGCTGCTATGTAGAGACCAAGACATCTTATGCTACTTAGCTAGTATTATTAACTGTGGTTCTTACACATTGTAACTGAAGGACCATAATATATAGGATACCACAGAACTCAGGGCACTTTGAATAGGTGTTTTGCTATAGCAAACCAGTGCAGCTCTTATTAGCTACCGACCAGTTTGGGCCTTTTAACTCCTACATCGGTCAAGGGCCACAAAGAAGAGGAAAGATGACCATAAACCAGTTTATCATGCATGATATAAATCATACATAATTCTAAAGCTTGCAGAGAGCAACAACTTGACTTTGTAATCCTTAAAATGCTCTCAATTATGCTAGCATGAAATATTAGACTACTAATCCTGGTTTAGATATAAATAGTGATTAGCAGAGCTTTTCTATATTAGTATAAAATCAGTACCAATCTATCTTCACAACAGCAGCATTCAGTGATATTTTATTCATATACTGGAAGCATGAATCATTTCACCATGAATATATTTACATAATTAGACTATGCTATCTTAGCATTGCTAAACGTTGCATTCACACAGGACCCTATCCTGCTGATAGGGGCACCTTTGGTTGTATCTTCACACCCTGAAATCTTAGAATAAAAATAATGATGTTTCATCGTTTTCTTATTGATTTTTAGGACATAACAAGTCAAACCTAATCACATACTGAAAAAAATAGAATGAATCATAACATACGCAGTAAGACCCTTTGTCTATCAGTTGGGACACCTGCTTCAGAACAGTGCAGAAGCCCCTTGGAAGCTAGCTGACCAGTTCTTCTCTCTGGATCATGCCATTGCTCTGCAACTGCATTCACCAATTCAAGGAACCAGTGCTAACGTCACATAATATTTTGTGAATAGCATAACATTGCTCTGGTGACACTGCATCACTTTCGGTAGCATGGCGTTGACAGTCAGCTGTCCTCCTCTTTAGATCCCCTTCTTCCTGGCCATCACCAATGAAGAGTTAACTTTACAATAACAATAATTATAATGCGTATTATTATTATGCATTTTTGGTACAAGGGAGTGCAGTTTGTATTGCACTTTATAGCCAAAAACATCAGCTCTGCAATGAGCAGAACATGCTGAAACATATTTCAGAATATGATTTTGCATTGTATGGAATATACTTGAAAATATTTGTATTGTGAGCATATGCCAAAATATGAGCTTTGTTCATTTAATGGTGTTAAATTGGTTAAAACATTCCATACATTTAATGATGCTATGAATATACCAACACTCTCAATACTTCTGGAATAGAAAAAAAAAAAGATGAAGTGATTAAAGTCTGTTTCACCCTCCCAAATGAAAGTTGATTATCTTTAGTTTTGCTGCACTGCTGTTTACTTACTGAAAGGTGTTGTGTCAGTAGGGTCTGGAGGTGTGAAATTTTCTGTGAAGTTCACATTGCACATGTCAGCACTGCAGCAACAAAAGCGGTAGGTCCCATTCTGTATGAGTGGTGGAGTAGTAGTTACCACACATTCTTCATGGTGACAATCATGTGGGTCACCTATGTATGACCAGCAACCTGAAAATATAAAAGCAACACAGTGAGCTCCAAAACAGAGAATTATCTATCTCCAGTCAAGCAAGTTAAAAATAAAACTTCAACTAAGTTTCATGACTGTAAAGTGACACTAAATTCAGGAGTTAAATCTTAAAAATGCATTTACTTACCCTAACTATTAACAAAAATGTATCTTATTTGTGTATCACTCGGCTGTAGATCCTCAAATCATCTCTGAATTGGTGCTGACACTGTCCTTCCTTCTGGAGGGGGGCTACTTTTGTTTCCCATGGTCCCTGTGTGTGTTATAATGTAGTCACCTCTCTAAGCTCGCTCCTGTTATGGACTACAATCTCATCGTTAGTTTACTAATTTGTATTGAGATTTTAGTCCATCAGGAGAGTGAGTTTGGAGAGGTGGCTACTTTACAACACACAGGGACCATGGGGAACAAAAGTAGCCACCCTCCAGAAGGAAGGACAGTATCAGCACCAATTCAGAGATAATTTGAGGATCTACAGCCCAGTGATACACAAATAAGATACATTTTTGTTAATAGTTAGGGTGAGTAAATCCATTTTTAAGATTTACCTCCTGAGTTTAGTCACTTTAATATACAAGGATAACAAATTCAACATGTCTTTAGGTGCTTTCATGAAAATTTGGCATGCATTTCAGATGCTTTCATTGACCTGTATACAGAAATAAATACAAAGCAATGGAATATATGCAAAAGCAATGATTAATTAAGTGAATATATCCCCATATAATACAATTGAAAACACAACACAACTTTCCAGAGTCTTTAAGAAATAGTTCACAAGTGCATGTCAAAAGAAAAACCAGAATACAGCTGTAATTTATTTTAGTTTCAGAAACTTAAATCAGCTTTCGTATATAAGCCTATGAATACATTACTCAGTTGAATCAATGTTATGACCATTTAATTAATGGATGGATAGGGCTAAATGAAGCGCTGTGTACCTTTACTCAATATCAGTTCTAAAAGGGAAATCACATCTTCCATTCACAAGGGCATAAACCAAAACCACAACAGACCATGCAACTGTAATGGGGTCCAGCGCTACCTGGCTGAATACTGAAATGAATGCATACTGTATATAGTTTAGGTGCCACTGTCAAATTGATATGGCAGCAGTTAGTATGTTTATTAAAAGCAATGAATGTAACCGTTTCAAACACTGCTCTTTGTCTGTTTAAGGGGGTGTAGTAATAAGCGCTTATGCTTTGTGGAAGAGATTGTTATTGCATAAAGAGGTTTTACAACTCGTTGGAAAATCTCTTTGCGGCTTAGGCTGATTGTTTCTTTTCCTGTAGAAACGTTTTCATCTCATGCATGCTGCAAATACTCGTCAATTAGGAACAAAATGGCAAAGGTTCCTGGAAGCACATAACGTGTTCAAGGGCTGGCAAATGCCTCACTACCATAGATGTCAAAGTGAGATCATTGATCTCACATATACATCTGCTTGTACATAGGTGTATATGGCCATACACTGTTATATTTTTTTCATTCAACCTGGAGCTGAATTAAAAAAAAAAATAACAGTGTCTGTACAGTGTATGGCTACCTTAAAGTGACACTAAACTCAGGAGTTAAATCTTAAAAATGCATTCAAGTACCCCAACTATTAACAAACATGTATCTCATTTGTGTATTACTCGGCTATGGATCCTCAAATCTTCTCTGAATCCATATTGGCATTGTCCTTCTTTCTGGAGGGTGGCTACTTAGGTTATACATGGTCCCTGTGTGTGTTATAAAGTAGCCACCACTCCAAGCTCACTCCCATGATGGACTACAATCTCATCACAAGTTTACTAATTCTTACTGGAATTATAGTCTGTCACGGGAGTGAGTTTGGAGTGATTGCTACTTTAATACACACGCAGGGATCATGGGGAACATCATGGGGAACAAAAGTAGCCCCCCTCCAGATGGAAGGACAGATGGAAGGACAGTGTCAGCAAAAATTCAGAGATGGTTTGAGGACCTACAGCTGGGTGATACATTTTTATTTATAGTTAAGGCAAATTAATGCATTTTTAAGATTTAACTCCCGAGTTTAGTGTTACTTTAAGTTACTGTTTTCTCATGGCACATGGTAAAGTCCCTTCCACTACACCAGCCCTTTTCTTCAGACTGTATCCCCAATCCTGCCTACACAGAGCCTCACTTCACCTACATCTATACTGCACTGCACATGCACAGCTGACCTTGAAAGTGAAGCATTGTGCAGGCCACAGCATCCTAGTGGATCCTCAGTGTGATATAACACCTATGAGCATATATACTGTATATGCTCATAGGTTTGTCCAGAATGGCAGGTATCTATCCCCTTATTTTTGAAAGGAGGCTCCTTAAGAGCCATTGATGGGATAATGAACAGGGAAAGTAAAAAAGTACATTGGAAACGGAAGAAGAGATTGCTGCTGCCGCTGCTTCTGCTACATACTGTTTTGGGGCTTTTGTTTTCTATGTGGACCTCATGCTGCTGAAGTAAGCCAGTGAGGTTTGCATTCATAGATTTATTTTAGGCACCTGAAGACAATAAAAGAAATGTTGTCATCATTAGTCCCAGCTAATTTCCCAAATATTACTATAGGAGTTATGGAAATATTGGCTGCACTGTGAAATATGTCTGTTTTGTGACTGGTTGGTAGTAGTTTGGAAAGAAAGGCTTTAACCACAGGTAAAGATGTGTCCAATGCCATACCATACCTCCCAACTGTCCCTCATTCAGAACCCAACCAGTGTAAAAGAAAAGTAGTGGTGGAAAAAATGCTGGGTTTAACCAGTTATTTTTGGCATATAAATTCTTAATGGTCTGCATACTTGGGGGTGTAGCAGGGGTGTGTCCATTGCCTAAACACAATGTTCTGCAAGGGCTGGCCATCTTTCTCATCCAAGAAAGTTGGGAGGTATGTCTATGACACTCATTTTTTTTTACACAAACATACTACGTCAAGAAACAGAAATAAATGTGATTCTAAATCTAGATGCTAGATGATTATTTTTTACTTGCCTTGCTTGACGAGATTGATTTCCCCATCTCTGTTTTTTCCCCATAAGCCAAAGCAGGTGCTTCCCTTGGAACACTCCACAGTGCCATTCTCAGGGGATATCTGACTTTCGCTGACTCCCTGGTCCTGCTGGTTGGGATCTTTGTAGGCGCACAAACGCTCTTCACTCTGAGCAGCTGGAAAAGAGACACCAGAAGGAAGATTAATCCGCATGTTCTGTTACCACAACAGCAAATACATAGTTGCTGGAAACACTTTGTCTTTATAATGCCAATACTGGAGGTTAATTCTGGAGGTTATATACTAAAAACAAAAAACAAAAAACATAGAGCATATCCACAGTACAATAGAAAATACAACCTGTAAATGAAAAAAATGTTGCATGGTGCTCCTGTGCATTCTAAAGTGAACTACCAGCAACAGCTAAATGGTGAAAAACATATACAAGTGCTGTTTAACCTGCCAAATAATGTGTACTCCTTTCCTTAGATTTACACAGCTCTGCCACACAGCAAAGCTAGGCTGACCACTTTTTTTTACTGCAGCTAAGTCATGAAGTTAGGTTGTGTCCATGTCCCCAGTCTGTGACTGGACAGGGACGGAAAAGCAGCACACTGATGAGCTCATCTCTGCTCCTTCCCCTTATCATTATACTTTTTCTTAGCAAATTAGCACTGCAGCACAATTGATTGGCTTCTTGTACTGTTACTCTCTTTCCCAGTCTGAGCTCTGCTGTGCAGGGCAGGGGAATGCAAGAGGCTGATACCAGGTCAAATTAAGGTACTGTACGTACACTGCTTGCATTTACAAATAAATTCAATTAAGTATTAATAAATACAGAGCTGCATTAGTTTGTGTCTTTTATATCTGCCTGAAGTTCAGGTTTTAACATTAGGAATACAGTATGGAGATACATTTTTTGTTTTCTGTGTAGCTTAGCATGTCCTAACTGAGTGGATATGAACCACAAGAAACCTGTCCCCACTTACTTTTAGATTAGAAGAAAGTGGTTTATTTTTGGTGCATACCAAATAATTGCTAGATTCCATGGACATTGACATCTTTATATTACTATTGTTCAGGATTTATATATATTTACAATATAAGGAAGACATTACAGTTACAATACAAATCAAGACAAGATGGTCATGAGGGCCCTGCCCGTAAGAGCTTACAATCTAAATGGGAGGGGCAAGTGATACAAAAGGTGGCAGCTGTGTGGGAATGAATTGGCATTAGTGTTAATGATGGCGTGCCAACATGTTGAATTTCTTGTTGTGCTTTAATAAAAGTATGTATCAGTTTACTGTACACCTCTTTAACATATAATGTAGGAAATCATTTTAATTGGGCACACATTACTGAGTTAAGACAAGTAGGACTTTGCATTTGGTCCCTTAACTAAAAGTGAGCAGCAATAAGACACCATGCTGCATGCGTCACATGATGACATTTCGTTCTCGCTGACAGATGTATAATCCCAGAATACTCAGCTGTTCTTACTACCGTGACAGGCCACTATTGGAGGGCTAAAGCCTATTCAACCTATGTGTTTTTCCTTACCCAACTCCCATGTCCGATATTATGCTTCTGTTACAGGCTCATGAAGGACCAAAGGTTATGATGACCTATGGGCTTATTATAAAACACAGGACTCAGAGCAAAGTGACCCATGGCAAATCAACCTGAATGTACCTTATTGTAATAAGACAAGTACAAGGCGAATTCTGATTTTTTTTATATAAGTACAGCTATGTGCTGCTTGCATTGCACTGCAAGTAGGAAAGTATACACACCATCAAATCTCTCCCCCATGTACAAGCCTCTAACTTGTTTCACCACCAGGGCTTATCTATCTATCTATCTATCTATCTATCTATCTATCTATCTATCTATCTATCTATCTATCTATCTATCTATCTAGCCAAGTTTCTAATTTTAACCCTATCCTTAAAGGAGAATTATGAGGTGAGTGATTTTCACTCAGCCACATAATCTAAGCCAACCCGTGACAATGAAACTGTCACAGGTCGGCTCAGTAGATCGGGAAGTGATCGAACACATACCGGCGCTCGCTCACTTCTCGATCTATCCGTGCAGAGTATCCGTGCTGACTGGCGGAACGGAGTGGGGAGGGGGCGGATACAACTGGCTCTGCCTCTAGACAGGCAGAGCCTATTAGACTATTCATAGATCAGTTAATCTACAGGAATGCAATGCCGCTGCCTATGAAATAATGATCACAGTTTGATAGAGGTTACCTTTGATGCGCGACAAAGTTTAATGCTGCAACCTACTTTCACAGTCTCGCCTTTGTATAGTTTTGGTCTCCATACTTTTGTTTCTAAGCGATTGTTTACACCATCTCTGGACCAGAGTGTTTTTTGTCTGCACCTGAAATGCATCTCAATGTATTCCTATAGTATTTCTGGGCTCTGTTCACACCAGTGCAGTAAGTTCCGATGCAGTAGGAAAAAATGCTGCATGCACTATTTTTCTGGTCTGGAACACACCAAAACGCATGCTTTACGCATACAAGCGCACTGGAACGCACTGGACCACACCTGAAAGCCCATTTTAAGTTAAAAGAAACGCACCGGAGCCCATCAAAAAAGCAATGCACTGCATTTGCAGAAACACCTCCAGATCTGGTCCAGACATGGTGTGAACAAGCCCTCAAGCTACCCACAGATATTAACTTGCAGTCAAATATGATAATGATCCAACTGCCAAAATAGCTATCTGACAAAACATGCATGCGCAGATTGGCTGGGTTTACATGTCTATGCCTGTAAAGGAGTGGAGAAGGCAGAAATTAATTCCCCGGGCCAAGTTAACGCAAAGAGAAAATAAATGGCAGGCAAAATCAAACCTGGCTAATTGATTCTTGTTCTGAGAAGGGTTATCCTGGGTATGTCTGGTGAGGTCAGGTGCCCTAAAGCTGCCCATACACCTTACAATTATCTGCAGATTTTCTGTGGTCAGATGGAAAAAGTGCAACAGATTGGCCCAGGTGGAGATTACTCCATCCACACAGTTAAGTGCAGATCTGTTGCACCTTTTCCATCTGACCACAGAAAATCTGCAGATAATTGTAAGGTGTATGGCCAGCTTAAGACTTTGTTTGATGGTTGTTAGTTTTCCTGATCTGACCTTGCCCATCAATTATTTCTGTGGGTACCTTAAGGGCCCATTCACACTAGCTTGCCCACTAAAATGTGTTGTGTTACCAGACAGTGTGATCCGACAGGTCCAGTGGGTCAGCTCATCGCACTATTAATTCATTTCAGAGATTTATATAACGCCAACAATTTACGCAGCGCTTCTGCATATTCACATCATTCCCTGCCCTTAGAAAGCTTACAATTTAAGGCACCTATTTAGACAGGAGCCAATTTGCCTTCCAGCATTTATTTGTAGTGTGGAAAGAAACCAGAGTACCCAGAAGGAATCCCACGCAAGCACAGGCAGAACATGCAAACTACTTGCAGGTGTCCTGAGTGGGATTTGAACAAGGGTCCCCCAGTGCTACTGTGTTTATTTATTTATTTTTTACTTTATTTGGAGTGTACAGAGTGTACAATCTGTTCAGGTCCCCACACAGCAACACAATGTACTGTGGTGTGGTCCAGTGCATTGCGCAAAAATGTGCAACATTTGCAGTGCAACAACGCATGCCACAATTGTTGTCTATATGCCCTGATGGTGACAGCAATTGTTCAGTTGCTGAAAATACCTGTCACCACATATAAGGCTGCCGTTAGACCTCAGTGTCAACTGAAGATGACTACATTGCAGCACATCTACTATGCGCTCTTCTCTGACAGATTGCATATTTTAATCTTTAATATCTAGCCTTGGCAGCATCCTTCGGAAGCATATGGTTTTATCATCAAGGGGGCTGAAAGACTACTACAAAATGCCATACTCTTTGCAGAAATTTGATGTGGTAATTGAATACTACATGCACTGTCATCTGTTAATTATAGGGATTACTAGCAGCAATGATTCTACTGTTGTGTAAAATACTTTGATTACCTGGTAGTCAGCTTACAGCATTTATGTAAGAAGTGACAAGACAGCTTGTATACTGATCAATGAAGTTGGAGGAGATGTACATTGGTTGTTCAGCTAGGTGCATATATATATAACTGGGATACTAAATAAAAAGTAGTTCATGGCTGGTCTAGGAACTTACTCAGCTTAATATGTACAAAATGGTGTCCATATTAATCAACAGCAGGGTGTACACTAATGTTGGTGTGCTGTCAAGCACTAAACAAATTAAAAGAAAACCAATTAAAAAAAACTAAACATGTATGGATGAGAAGGCTGTGTCAGGAGCAGTCATACTCCAATCCGTGTGCTTATTGTGGACATAGTAGGTACATAGGGAGAATAGTGTTGCGAATCCTGTCAACTGCACTGGATTATATGCTATGGCAAATTTCCTGGAAGAATGCTAGTTAGGGAGGGCAGTTCTTACCATCAGGTAGGCTAACTACCTTGTCCTTCAAAGCTAGTGCGGAACTAGCTTGTTTCATGGGCTCTTAGCTACTTTCCACCCTGTGAAACTGTGTATTTTTCAAGGAAATCAAAAGGAATACAGAAATAACCTTAATATGTATATAGGTATTTGGCATCACAAGGCGCTACCTTAGGCAATACAGGGATATTCCAGTGTTGACCACCCATTTCTCCTCAATAAACTCCAATCACGTGGCCTCCAAGACTCTGTTCTCTCATGGTTCACCTTCTACCTATCCCAGCACACCTTCAGTGTCACCTACAACTCTACTTCCTCCTCTCATCTTCCTCTATCCGTGGGAGTCCCAAGTCAGTGAGTAGATTAGTGGTGCGTGAGGAGATAGAAGGGGTGAGCTGAAGGGTAGAGAGATATATTTGGGTGCCATTAGCATACACATGGTAATGGAAGCCATGGGAGGTGATCAACTGACGCAGGGAGGCGGTGTAGATGGAGAATAGAAGGGGCCCAAGGACAGAGCCTTATTATTGACATGGATGTCACACCACTTCCTCAAACTAAATCTGTCTAAAACTGAGCTCATAATATTTCCTCCTCTCCGTGCCCCCTCCCCAGACTTCTCCATCACAATCAATAGCACCGCAATCAGCCTCTCCCGTCAAGTGAGGGTGCTCAGAGTAATCCTTGATT